ATTAGTACCTACTAAGATCGACTCGCCATGATTCGCTGCGATTTTCAGGGTTTTGCAGTTGGTCATAGTACCTTGTATGAGGTACTAATATATTACCTGCTCACCTGGGGTTACAAAGTGATGCAAGCAGGTACTAAAATGTGATGTCATCAGACTGCATGCCACTGATTGGCTAGTCAGTGGCATCACTCGGTGAGTCATGAGAGCGTCTTGTTCATGAAAATCAAAAGCACCATTGTTGAACCCAGGCAACGAAGGAAAGGCTACAAAAACAACGCCACGGTCCCCGAGTGAGACAAAAAGACACACCGAGCAGCAGGTGTATCCTCACGTCGACGACCTCCTTTCTTGTAGTGTTTGTGTACCAATTACGTCATGGGACAATGGTCACGTTGCTATAACAACAACCACACACATTAGGTAATGGAAACCAGTCAATCTGAGTAGGTACTAATGGGAAAAGGGCTTAAGTGTTTTCCCTTATGGTAGTGTCGGATTGTTTTCTGTGGCACACCAACAGTCTGAAAGAATGAAAATGCTGAGTTTTTCATCAGTCGTTGTTTTAAACATATTTGTAGAGGTGGGAAGTACTTAGTTACTATACTTAAGTAGAATTTTCAGGTATCTGTACTTTACTTGAGTAAATGGTCTGTCAGTCACAAGGGCCTATCAAATACAAAGAGATGAAAGACACAAGACAATGAAATGTATGCATAATGTATAGCACCATAGTCAGGTGTCTATAAGCTGTGCTCATGTTACTTTAGCATGTAGCACTGCAGAAGAGCAGCGAGCATAAAGAGTAACGTGTTTTTTTATGTCACATAATTTCAGATGCAACTTTTCCATCAGCTCAACAAATGTCAGAAAACACAAACTGTTAATGTGACCACCAGGTTAACCTGTGACACGTCTGGATTCATTCTGACCTGATCTCATGTTCATACATCAGATACGACCTCTGTGCTCATCCCTTACAAATACACTAGAGTACAGGTGCAGGTGCCTCACAGGTGACTCTGGTTGGACTGACAAACATCCACTCTGAGCGCAGGTAACTTAAAGTGTACTGTGTAGATGTTGAGGTGCCCATCGTCAAATCACAGAAGGAGTGAGTGGGAAGAATAATAACAGCAGGACATTTGTGGAAATATAGAATATAAATCAACTTTGTCATTCTTTAAACTTTTGTAGTGTCACGAGGTAAACCCACGTGCTCTTCTTTCTAGTCCGAAACAAACTGTCAGCAGACTGCAGTGCTGTGTTAGGTCTTAATCAGACCTCATGAGTATTCAATTACACAGTAGAGCCAGCTGTCACATGATTGCTCAGTAAAAACTAGCTACACGTCGGAAAGCAGGATTAAAACGCTTCCTTTGCTATTTGTTAGTGTGCAGTAACATCCGTGCTCTCAGGGTCAGTCACCTCTAACTGCTTCACTGACTTCACCTGTCCTAACTTAGCATCGTACACTCAAAGTTTCAGCGTGAAATCCTGCGCAAAGCAAAATGACGACGTGAATATTCCTTGGTAACAAAATCATCGTGTTATTGGGTCACGGTAACGTGAGAGCACGATTACTGCGGACGTTCTGCCCGTACATGCGTTTACTTACCGAGCGTCGTACCCGGATTTCTGGGTGACATGTTTCGCCAAAGAGAACGCTGTCGTTTGTGAACTTCCTCATCAGTCGCAGCCAAAATACGTATGAAGTGCGCTCAAAATGCCCGGATGTGTTCTTCGTAGGAAAGTCAAACGCCAACGAGGGTAGAAGTTTGTGTGTGACAAAAGAAACGGAAGATATTTCAGAGCGCAGCGGCATGTGGTATTAATCTTTCTCTTTGCATCCGACATGAGGATTCACCTGCACGTCTACACAAATAAAAGTCACACTTTCAAAATAAAAGCAGCACTGACATGAACTAGTTTTCATTTACCTTTCCTGTTTGCCTGACCCTCCACCAGATGTCAGTGTAGCGCAGGCTTTTAATGACGTTTCAATTGCAGAATGGATACACAAAATAAATCCTAATTTTGTCACATATATTCAAATCAACTTGAATTTATTTTATTTAAAAGGGACAGTGCAGTTTAACATAGTTCAAGTGCAAGACATGAAACTGATGTACCGCAATCAAACCACTAAATTAATTCAAAACCCCCAAAGCAAATTCTGAATTCAGCTGGAAATATGATTCCTAGGGTCTGAATATTTATATAGTACGGTGCATTCAGGTATTCACAATGCTTCACTTGTTCAGTTTTTTTTCTATGTATCAAATTAATTTTATAAGAGAGTGGCGCCCACTGCCACCGCTGTGGGTGTGCCACCAGTGAGAGCGCAGCCTCCTGGTCGAGTTCTATGCTAGTCGGCTTAGAGCAAAGGCCCACCTTCAGGCCCCTGGCAGGATCCAACGCCCAGGACGAAGAAGCCTCAGTCCTCCTAGCTGTGAGAATGGGTGGAATTGGTCTGTGTTAAATGTTCAGGTGACCATGTCAAGTGTTCCCACTATATTTCATTGTTGTTCCCCAATAAGTTTTGAATGCATCACCAGTTTTATAAGTAAATACATTTCTAAAGGTGCTATTAATATCACATTCTCATCAGAGTTGGTTGGTAACAACCCATCCAATCCACGGATGCAAAGAAATCAAAATACAGATGTCCATAAATTAAGGGTAATAATGAGAAATATACTGAAATTGATTTAATACTTCATAGAAAAGCTTTTGCTGGTGATGACAGTTTCAAGATGCCTCTTGTATGGAAACTCTAGAGGCATGCAGGTGTGATTTTGGCCCACAAACAGGCAATCCTGAAGGTTATATGGGCCCTGCAAGTCTTGAACAAATATCTACAAACGTTCCAGTTCTAACAGTCAGACAGCTTTTGAATCCCGTTTGGTCCACAGGTCAATCTAACATGGCTAGACACCTGAGCCACAGGCAGTTTCTGAGGTTTGCATTCCTGCATTCGCTGGTTCTGTTCCACATTCGGGCACTGGGTTTCTTAGTGAACTTTAAAAAGAGCTCACGAACTCCAAGTCAGCAGATCTCTTTCTTTGATTTGCGACTGGATACATTAGTCGGACCAGAGAGGGGCCGTGTTTTATCACTGCCTCGCTCAGTTTCAGCTGGGACACAGATGGCATTTCCAAACAATGTTATGGTTACTGGGCACAATGGCATCAACGATTGCTTAGTGCCACTCAGACTGTTAAAGATGGTGGTGGTGGACACTCTCTCACAGCCTGTGTGCATCGCGTCACCTCAGGGGGAGGCTGAGGGTAACTAGATCGTCCCTGGAGGGAGTCCAGGCTCCTGCACCAGGGTCTTAGACTGAGAGGGTGTCGTTTTGCATGGTGTTGTATTCAACAGCAGTCTTTTACATAAACAGGTAGGGAGGGACGCGCTCCTTTCCTCTGTTAAAGCTGTCTCACTCTCTGTTGTTATGGTGCAGTGTTTGTTTTCTGCCTGTAAGAGCTGCTCATGTTCCAGGCCATCTGACCCTGAGGCCAGACCTTCTCTTAGCAGCTACATCTCCTCCTCATATTGGCTTTGATGAGGTGACACCAGCTGCACATGTCCTTGCCATAGATTTTTTGAAAGGGGCTAGCGTCCC